TGATTTAAAACATTCAGCTGATTTAAAATGTTCAGCTGATTTAAAATGTTCGGCTGATTTAAAACATTCAGCTGATTTAAAATGTTCAGCTGATTTAAAATGTTCGGCTGATTTAAAACATTCAGCTGATTTAAAATGTTCAGCTGATTTAAGAAATTTGGCTGATTTAAAACATTTGGCTGATTTAAAACATTCAGCTGATTTAAAATGTTCAGCTGATTTAAAATGTTCGGCTGATTTAAAACATTCAGCTGATTTAAAATGTTCAGCTGATTTAAGAAATTTGGCTGATTTAAAACATTTGGCTGATTTAAAATGTTCAGCTGATTTAAAGCATTCAGCTGATTTAAAATGTTCGTATGATTTAAAACATTCGGCTGTTTTAAAATTATCAGCTGATTTAAGACATTGGGCTGAATTAAAATATTCAGCTGATTTAAGACATTGGGCTGAATTAAAATGTTCAGCTGATTTAAAATGTTCAGCTGATTTAAAATGTTCAGCTGATTTAAGACATTCGGCTGATTTAAAACATTCAGCTGATTTAAAATGTTCAGCTGATTTAAAACATTCAGCTGATTTAAAACATTCAGCTGATTTAAAATGTTCAGCTGATTTAAGACATTCAGCTGATTTAAAATGTTCAGCTGATTTAAAACATTCAGCTGATTTAAAACATTCAGCTGATTTAAAACATTCAGCTGATTTCAAATGTTCAGCTGATTTAAGACATTCGGCTGATTGATTCTGCTGTTTTTACCTGAGTTGAGACTTTTCAGCAGGCGGTAGAAGTTTGGGAAGTACTGCAGGTCCTGGAGTCCGTCTCCAGGGTTCACCTCGTTTCCTCCGTCTCCATCCTTCACCCAGGTGTCGTCCTCTGCGTCTTTCTCTGCGTCCCTGTCCACCTCATCCTCGTCATCATCTTCATCTTCCTCCTCATCCTCCTCGTCTTCGTTGTACCGTCTCCTCGGTGGTTCCCAGGTGTCCTGGAAACGACAGGCTTATTGTGGCTGCAGACACCTCTGCTGTCGAGACGCGTCTGCAGGTCTTACCGGGTCCGGACTCTGGTCGTCCTGCTCTCCCCCTGTGTCCTGGTCCTGGTCCTGGTTCTGGTCCACGTCCTCGATCTCATTGTCCTTGGCGTTTTTGGTGATGAGATCCTGCAGAGCCTCGGCCACCTGGTACTCCAGAGTATCTGCCTGGTTTTCTGTGATCTGCAGGAAAACAAAGATCCAAAATAAGAGAAACAAAGAGACGTGTAGAACGTCTCCACACAGTATAGAGACGTAAAGAACAGTCAGTGATGTCAGACGTTTTTACCTGTACAAACCACAGAATGCTAACATGCTAACGTGCTAACAACCAGGGGGTTGGGGGTCCAGCTCAGATCTTACCAGGCCCAGTTTCAGCAGTTTGGTGACGATCCTGTCGAACACGCCTCTGTCGTCTTCCTCGTAGATTTTATTGGCGATCTTTTGCACGATGTCCTCGGCGGTCAGCGGCGTGCCGTCAACCTGACGAAAAGTTTCTGGGTCGTCTGCGAGGAGAACCCAGATGTTAGAGATCAGCTGCACTCAGGACATAAACGCTGCTTTAATTATTCATCTTTTATACTTCTGAAGTTGGTTTTCTCCATCTGCAGCTTTGTACAAATGGGCGGAGCTTTGTACAAATGGGCGGAGCTTTGTACCAGCAAGCGTTTAGGCTCATTTTTTGTTTGCCTCTGATTATTTTGGCAGTCAGGGAGTGACAGGCACAGAGGTGTGGTTACCATGGTGATCATATTGAGTCACTGCCAGCAGCTTTAGCATTTATTTTGATCTTGGTTTGCTTCACTCTTCTACAGTTCGAACAGCAAAACGAATGTTGTAATTTTAAGCAGCAGCTTTATCTGAACCTTTTTCTGCTTCTTGTTTTGTTTTAATGTTGCAACAAAATGCTAAAGCCTATGGAGCAAAATAAAACATTCAACAATGTCTGTAACATATTTTCATTATTTAATTCACAGTTCTTACATTTTTCTAATTTTTACTAAATGTTAAATTTAAACATTAAATCCTGAATCTAAATGTAAAAATTAAATTTTAAATGTTGCAGCCAAATAACAAAATTTACATTAAAACATTTCAGAATGTAATGAGGCCTTTGCTGTCGGTGCTGGGCTTTTTTTTGTGACATCATCATCTTGAGACAAACCCTAACGCTGCTGATGCTGCTAACTCTTCCCTACAAGACCTAAAACTTGCAGGTGCAGCAGGTGTCCTAGCTGCACCTCAGACCATCAGACCTCAGGTATCATCCATGTTGTTTTCATTGAACACGTTTTAAATGGCAATTCTAAAAGAAATCAGTGTTAGCATAGTTAGCAGTGTTGGCAGCATTAACAATGTTAACAAAGTTAGCACCATTATCAGAGTTAACAACGTTAACAGAGTTAGCAGTGGTAGCAGCATTAGCAACATTAATAGAGTTAGCAGCATTAGTAATGTTAACAAAGTTATCAGCATTAACAGAGTTAACTAAGTTAGCACCATTAGCAGAGTTGACAGCATTAGCAATATTAACAGAGTTAGCAGCATTAGCAGAGTTAGTAGAGTTAGCAGCATTAGCAATGTTAACAGAGTTAGCAGCATTAGTGTAGTTAGCAACATTAACAAAGTTAGCAGCATTAGCGGAGTTAGCAGTATTAGCTGCATTAACAACATTAACAAAGTTAGCACTATTAGCAGAGTTAGCAACATTAACAGAGTTAGCAGAGTTAAAAGCATTAGCAACGTTAACAGAGTTAGCAGTGTTAGCAGCATTAGCAACATTAATAGAGTTAGCAGGATTAGCAATGTCAACAAAATTAGCAGCATTAGCAGTGTTAGCTGCATTAACAACGTTAACAAAGTTAGCACCATTATCAGAGTTAGCAACATTAACAGAGTTAGCAGAGTTAGCAGCATTAGCAATGTTAACAGAGTTATCAGCATTAACAGAGTTAACAAAGTTAGCACCATTAGCAGAGTTAACAGCATTAGCAATATTAACAGAGTTAGCAGTATTAGCAGAGTTAGTAGAGTTAGCAGCATTAGCAATGTTAACTTAGCAGCATTAGCAGAGTTAGCAGTGTTAGCTGCATTAACAACGTTAACAAAGTTAGCACTATTAGCAGAGTTAGCAGTGTTAGCTGCATTAACAACGTTAACAAAGTTAGCACTATTAGCAAAGTTAGCAGTGTTAGCATCATTAGCAAAGTTAACAGAGGTAGCAGCGTTAACAACGTTAACAAAGTTAGCAACATTAACAGAGGTAGCTTTAACATTTAGCTGCAACATTTACATTAAGATTCACACCTTTAGATTTAGGATTTAACATTTAAATTGAACATTTAGAAAAAAAACAGGAAATGTAAGAACTGTGAGGCAGATAAAAACAATATGTTGGAGGAAAAATGTCACCAGTATTTTACTCTCAGAAAGTGAGCTGAATGATGAAAACATGTTTGTTACATTGTGTAAGATCTGGCTCCAGTTTATTTCTAACAGATGAAGGATATTTCTGTCCGTAGTAAATAAGTTCCCACTTCTCACTTTAGGTGAGAGATATCAGCCCCCGCCTCCTCCAACCGTCCAAACACTTTAAAAAGAATCAGAACTGTGACGTCTCAGTTTACCTTCAGCCTGTTTCTGCCTGGCTGCAGAGACCCTGTGAAGTGAAACTGTAGCAGTCAGCAGTTTGAGTCTGAGTCATGGAGCTGCAGGCTCATCAGCAAACTACAGCAACGTTTCAGCTGATCGCTTCATTTAAAGCTGAACAAACAAGACATCAGCCGAAACACTGGAGCTGCAGGACCAGCATGAGAAAGTGAAGGTCAGCAGCTCACAGAGACTCACACAAGATAATCGTTTTGTTTTGGTTCCACGTGTTCCACTCTGATCCTCATTAAACACGTGTTTTTGTCACGACTCAGCGTTGTGCAGACGAGCTGGCAGCACGACGCCTTGGTCTTCATGATGACCGTGAGCAGCCAGGAGACCCGAGTGAAACCAGGTCTGATGAGCAGAAACACGGCTCATCAGGGACGGTACTGTCAGATTCATTAACTGATCTGAAGCTGGTAAATTTATGTTTTCTTATCTTCACAACAGAAACATCAAGCTTTAGCAGGTTTCCTGGTTCTTTGTAAATATGTGATCAATCCTACGAATACAGGGAGTGAAACACGTTGATTCGATCAGGGCTTCTTAACCTTTTTGACCTCGGGGCCCAATTTATTGAACATAAAGTGACACGAGGCCCAGTCACACATTACTATATGGATCAAAATGAGAATTATTCTAAATCTTGATTTAATTTTTATTGTATTTACATCATAACTAATTTAAATAACTTACATTTTAAAATTAAAACTCCTGTCAAATAATCACAAGACATGAATATAACAAACATTTTATATTGTAACCTGCCCATAACTATTATTTGAACAAATACAAAGGTCAGTCAACAGACCACTCAGGTTATCAACACAAATATACACTCACCGGCCACTTTATTAGGTACACCACACTAGTAACAAGTTGGACCCCCTTTTGCCTTCAGAACTGCCTCAGTTCTTCGTGGC